CCACGCTGGCGCTCCGAGCCATCAGCCGTGCCACCCTACAGACGCTCAGCAAGCTGCTGTAGCGCACGTGATCACACCACTCTACAGGCAATCACCAGGCTGCTGTAGGGCACGTGATCACGGCATCCTACAGGCAATCACCAGGCTGCTGTAGGGCACGTGATCACACCACGCTACAGGCAATCACCAGGTTGCTGTAGGGCACGTGATCACACCACGCTACAGGCAATCACCAGGCTGCTGTAGGGCACGTGATCACACCACGCTACAGGCAATCACCAGGCTGCTGTAGGGCACGTGATCACACCACGCTACAGGCAATCACCAGGCTGCTGTAGGGCACGAGATCACGCCAATCTACGAAGATGCTCACGACGCCTTTGTAACGAGGGCGGATTTTATCGATTCGTCTGCCCCCCGCCCGCCTCCAGCGCTCCCGTCCAGGGATCTCCGGCAGAGGTCGCAAACGGGTTTTGATTCCTTACCCGTACCCGGCCGCACCAGGGTCGCAAACGGGTACCCGTACCCGGCCGGGTAGCCGGGTACGGGTATCGGGTACCCGTAACCGTACCCGGCCGAGTAGCTGGGTATCGGGTAGGATACGGTTATCGGGTAGGGTACGGGTATCGGGTACCCGATTGCGACCTCTGATCTGCGGGCAACTCCTTGAAACGGCGAGAGTGTTGTACGGGGGGGGGGGGGGGGGGGGGCGGAGGGAAAACAAAATAAGTAATATTTAAAAACCTCTTCTTGTTTCTTTCGGTAAAGTCACGTAGAAGGGAAATAATAAAATAATAAAAATAAAACATAATAAAATTATTCTCACGACGTTTCGGCCACAACGCAAGCAGCCGTCTGTCGGGAAGACTCTGTCTTTCCGACCGCCTTGCGAGTCGGTCACGCACGACGCTGCTACCCCCCAGTCACGGTGGCTATGAGATGTTGACTACCTCGCCTGGTGCGCAGGAGGTCGTGGGTTCGATCCTGACCCTGACGCCTGCTGTATATTTGGAGTTTGCGTCTCTCATCATCATCATGGTGGCTATGAGATGTTAACGACCTCGCCTGGTATACAGGAGGTCGTGGGTTCGATCCTGACCCTGAACCCTGCTGTATATTTGGAGTTTGTGTCTCTCATCATCATCATGGTGGCTATGAGATGTTAACGACCTCGCCTGGTATACAGGAGGTCGTGGGTTCGATCCTGACCCTGAACCCTGCTGCTGTATATTTGGAGTTTGCGTCTCTCATCATCATCATGGTGGCTATGAGATGTTAACGACCTCGCCTGGTATACAGGAGGTCGTGGGTTCGATCCCGACCCTGACGCCTGCTGTATATTTGGAGTTTGCGTCTCTCATCATCATCATGGTGGCTATGAGATGTTAACGACCTCGCCTGGTATACAGGAGGTCGTGGGTTCGATCCTGACCCTGAACCCTGCTGTATATTTGGAGTTTGCGTCTCTCATCATCATCATGGTGGCTATGAGATGTTAAC